GGGGGGGGGGGGGGAGGTCAATGGCAGCTGGGCTCAAGCTTCCTGCGAGAATATTCTGGTGCGACGTTCAAAGACACTTCTGGAGCTTTCCATATGTTGCTGCGACTGTATCCACACTCCAGGGGATATCTCTTTCTTGCAGGAGTGTGTGTGTGAGACAGACAGTTGTCATCAGCAGGGGGTCTTGAGAGGGAGGGGGGAAGCTTCAAAAGAGAGAGCGATGGTGCGTCAAGGTTTTAATTTCACCCAGAGGGGATGTTGTCACTCCATCTCTGCCACTGACACCCTGACCGTCCTGAGTGTTGTGGCGGTCTGGGGTCGACTTCCACGCCTCCAGGGGAATGTTTGCACCTCGCACCCAGAGATTAGCTCTAAAAGTGGGTTCCTCCTGCTGCCGTGTCTGGGCAGATGGGTCTCCGTGCTGGAGGGTTTTGTTTTGGTGTGTTAAGTTGTCATACATCAGCGTTGTGGTTGTGATACTACTGTGCGTAGTGAGTGCTGGAGCCCTGAATGGATATTGTCATATTATGCAAACACATTGGGGCACTAAACATTTCATCACAGGAAAATTACCAACCGCTGAGAGCTTAAGATTTTTGTGTGTGTACAGATTTGGCATTTTGTATTCCGTCTTTCTCTCCTCAGTGTTGAGACGCCTCCTTTATTCTCAGATCTGTGTGTCTGTTGTCGTGGCCGTATCAGTCCATCTCAGTGCTTGTTATATTTAGAGGCACAGCACTATCAGAGCTCACAGCTGGCCGCCTGTGATTCTCTTCTGACAGATCTGCTGCTTTGAAAGCAATCTCCTTTCTTTTTGTCTCGCTCAGTTTTCTGCCTATCTCCAGCCCCTTTCCCCTTTTCTCTTTACTACACTTCATCTCTCCTTTTATATTACTTTCACCTTCATACTTCAAGCCTGTGCTGTTTGTCTCCCTTTCTTCCCTGTTTATATTGTTTTTATACAACTTAATCTTTCTTTCATACAATCCACATTTTTCTCCTTTCATTTGATACATTTTCTTACCAAAGTAGTTTTATATTACAGCCCTTTTCTCTATTTTTGTCCCTTTTTATAGCTCAATTTGAAGTGCTCTCTTGCAGCTCATCTTGTTTCTTCTCTCCTTCACTCAAGTTCCCTTTCAATTTTCTCCACATCTTTATCATCCTCAGTGCCATCGGGTCCGCCTCCTACCAGGGAAGGAGCTTCATCACTTTGAGTAAGTCCATGTTGAAAGAAACAGCAAACAGCACAACTTTTCATTTGGGAGGAGACAAGCAATTAGTTGCTATTACACGCTCGAATATAAACGCATAGGCAACCCTAATCTAATTAATCATGAACAACGGGGGCGGTAATAGAGAAACATGTTTATGCAAATTCCCCCACACAGTAATCGCCTTCATTCTTTTTTTTTAACATTATATTTATTGGGTTTTTCAACAAATCTCCTTCATTCTTAATAGGAAAAACAGCAGTGGCGCCTTAGAAAACAATCCTCCCCCTTATTCCTCACTGCTGACCCGTTTGACTTGCTTGTATCTCCCCCACCTCTCCATTTCTACCTTCTTTCTTGTCTCTCTTTCACTTTTCTACCCTGTTATTCTCTTCATCCCACCTTCCTCTTCTTCCAGGTACATTCAGCATCTGCGGAAAAAGTATTGATCCCATTTTTTATCTCTACAGCTTGATAGCAAATAACCCTAATAATGTAGGCGATGGGACATTTACACCCCCCTGCTCTCTGCAGACCCCATTGCTCTCAATTCCTTCTGTTTGATTCTTTTTCCCTTTCATTTGCATTGTTATTGTGTTATTGCCTGCCTCCCTCTCCCCCCATTGTGTCTGTTGACATCTATTTCCTCATTTCTCCACCTCTTAACTTTGCCGTTATTGCTGTCCCCCCCCCGCCCCCGTATTTAATGTGCTAGCCCCCAGTCCAGTATGTGATGCAGGACTAAATATAGCCCAGAAGGACATTATACAATTATGTCTCTGCATCCTCTTTCTCTCCTGTGCTTCCATTTCTTTCTTCTTACACTGTTCAGCCTCTTTTAGTCGCTGCATGTCTCTTGAGGTTTGTGTCAGGAAGAATGAAAGGAATGGTAAAGTAAATTTCAACAGCATGTGATGCATTACAACATTGGTTAACTTGATCAATTGATTGACACTTCTGCGGTTTGGGTGCAGGTATTTGGAAGAGTTTCGATTGCGATCAAAGGAATCAATAAGGTAGTGAAAACCAATAACTATTATCATTCAGGGTGGTATTGTTTAGCAGTACATTTACTCACATACTCTACATTTATGTATGCCAATTCTTAGTTTCACCAGATAATATTCAAAATATTGCATTACTATTTACACACAAAAATACGACATAAAATAAAGGAAAGAACCATAAAATATGAAGAGTTTGTGATTAAGGCTTTTTCACTGAAAGTCTCTTTATACCCGTCCATTTGATTACACTTATCATTTAAAACACTTTGATCTCCATGAGCACTTACAGCTGGATTTCTTCGAGTGGCTCTACATGATATATAAATAAAGTTTATTACAATAAATAAAACATGTAGCTGATTTACCGATGCATACATGGTCCCCAACAATTATACTAATTTGTTAGTATAAAATATATAAAAAGCATTCCTAAAGTGCCGTTCTGTCGAATGAGTACTTCTGCTTTTGGAAATTAAAAGTCTATTTATGATATAATTTCAGTACTCATAATGCTTAGTATTATGTAATATAATACATTTATTTTTTAATGAAAATGTTTACTTGAAACAGTATTTTTACATTGAAGTATTAAGTAAATAACTTACTCGGTCCTGTTCCAATGTTATTCTAATATATATAATGTGTATATAT